GGTCGCTATGAGTCGGGGCCAACTCGACGGCATATAACAACTACAACAACAACAAACCAAAAATATCTTCTGAAATAATCTTTAAACCAAACAATAGTTTAATTCATTTAGTAAAGATTGTCTACCCTGACCATTATGCTCTTTCAGAGAATGATTTGTATGGCATCAAACTGACAACAGCAACTCAAAAGATTAGATAGGATGCTTAGGGAGCAGTGAGTTTATGTTATGGGGGATGGTGAGAATGGTTGTACAACTTGATGTAATCAGTATTAACTGAATTGTACATGTGGAAATTGTTGATTGCTGTATGTTCCTTGTGTATATTTTCAACAATAACAAATATTTTTTGGGAAAAAATCATTGTCATTCAGTGACTGAAGTGCTGCGGGCGTCTTATTCTGGTTTTTGAGAGTCAACATCTGTCTACTTCTTGCCTGGGTATGATAAGTAACCTTGTTCTGGAGAGAGCCAGAGGAGACAGTTACTCAGCAGTAGAGTTGACCTCAAGAAGCCCCTGTGTATGAAGAGCTAAGACCCATACCCTGGCCCAGGGCCCTGGGGCTCTATAAGCTGAATTGCCTGAACCGTCAGTACACTGAATTATTCTCTTTGCCAGTGACCTGCCTCTTTTAACTGTGTTCCCTCCCCCTCCATGACCTACTCCGAACTTCTAACCTCTTACAGGAATGTCTCAGCAGCCACTGACTTTCCGTTCCTCTCATAAAACTAGGCCAGGCAGCCTGAGTGTATGAAACAGGCAGGGACATCTTTTCTATTCACTCCGTCAACGTCATTTAATTGTATCAGACAAATATACTGACTTGTCATTCCTCCAGAAGCCCTCACTGCATTCTCCCTTTGTGCTCTTTCAGACAGTACTACGCCTACCTCACGGACACGCAGTGCAAGCGCGTGGGGACCCAGTGCTGGGTGTTCGGGTGAGTGGCCCGCTAGCGTGGAGGCCCAGCCCTTTGAGCCTCTGCACTCCTTTGGGTATTTTCTGCTGCTCTGGGAAGTGCCTCTCGGTGCAGTTTTCCTCTGCAGGCAGGTGGACATGTTTTGCCGTTTTTCATGTCCCATTGATTTTTAACATTCCGTTTTCTGACTTAAGCTTAGAATAGTCAGCAAGTTATCGAGAAAAGGTTTAAAAATGGCTTTACTTAAAAAAAAAAAAAAAAAGAGAAACCATAAGTTTTTTCCTCCTTAGAACTCTGAGACCTACTTTACTCAACAAATCAGAGAAAATGGGTTGCATGTCGTGTGCATTTGGGACCCCGTCCCATCATGGGCTTACCCACGCTTCATTTTATATTTGTATCAAAAGGATGCTTTAAAACAGCAGCTTGCTCTACCCCAGGGTATCATTTTTCATTTCCAAAGAGAATTAAGACATAACTGCATGGTCATAATCTATTGTGTTATTAGAGATGGAAGTGCTATATTTTAATTGACTATTTGACTAACTTGAAAGAGGCTGTAGGTTATCTAGAATAACCCCCCGATGTTAAATGTGGGACCCTCTTTAGCGTCTCAGGTAAATGGTCCCTCTGCTTAAACATCAGCAGTATACCATCCCATTTGCCAGCCAGCGTTCCAGAGACGTCCAACAACTCTGTACGCGAGGTTTAGTCCCTGAGGTAGCTTAGACTCAAAACTTGGTCTGAGTTCTAAGTCAAGTGTGACAGTATAAAGGAAACTTGATGAAACTTACAGTAGAGGAAAAGTTACTACATTCATCAGATTTTTTTTAAACAGAATGACTTCTGTGAATTAAAAACGTACTCAGGAAGGACTATGTTGTTGTTTGTTGTCGAATGAAGTGTTGTGTGGTCCTGCACCGTTCTTCTTGGTGTTTGGTCTGCTCAGCCCATTGGTGCAGCCACTGCTTTTTGAGCACCTTCACCTGAGGGCACATCCAGCACTGAGCCTGATTCTTGGAAGTAGATCTGCAGGCCTTTCTTCCTGGTTTGTCTTAGTCTAGAGGCTCTGCTGAAACCTGTCCATCATGGGTGGCTACCACACACACTATGACAGTCTGACAAAGAGATGGTAGGAAAAAAGGATGCACCGTTGAGTGCCATCAAGTCACTTCTGATTTGTAGCAACCCCACGTGACAGAACTGCCCCATAGGGTTTTCTCAGCCGCAACCTTTATGGAAGCCAGGGTCGCCACTGGGTGAGTTTGAACTTCACCTTTCGGTTAGCAACTGAGTGTTTAACCCTTGTGCCGCCAAAGAAACTAGATCATCCACCCATAAAAGCCAACCATTCAAAGATAATTGCTGCTAACGTTTCAGTGGCACTCCTTCCAAATACTGTTCTGCGTGTGTGCATACATGTGCACACGTGTACTTGTACCTCAGCTCTCATTCCCGGTTCTGAAGGTCACCTGTAATTCTAAAGGATAAACACGTTGATACTCAGGTTTAGTTGTTTTTTCCCCCGAAGACAAAAAAAAGTTTTTTCCCCTGAAGACAAAGGGCGGTTGTCATTTGTTTCTTACGAGTTCTGTGGTGTAAGTTAATATTCCAACCTAAAGTGATTGCAGCCTGAAGGATGACAAGATGGATTAGATTCCCTTTGTTTAATGATCTAGAAGGAGAGAGAAACACGTCTACCCACATTGCTAATTCACTGAGCCAGGGAGACTTTCCCCTTGGGGTGTGGGACGTGGTTGTTGCGTGATGCAAGGCAGGATGTGGGGCCTCTGTGTTTGAGCCCTCTCCTCTCCCACTTACGTGCTCTTTCCACATGCATTTTTCCTTCATATTTAAAACTCTTTGGCAAGGTCTTATTGTGTTGTAGAATAGATAGATGTTTTCTACAAGACCCTGTCTGTTTACCTGTTGAAAAAAAATTTGACGTGAATTAGAGAAGGGGGTAGCGTTTCTCATCAGGCTGTCAGAAAAGAATACCCATGGTGGGAGAGATGACAGAGATGAACTAGGCCAAAGGGTGGTGGCAAGAGCTGCTCCAGAAAGTTGTAACTTGTCAGAAAATGAGTAAAATGCAGATGGGACATCATTGGACTTATTTACTATGTTTATTGAGAATAGAGAGCCCCCAGAACAAAGTTACCAAGATTAACGACTCGTCTGAGGACTAGTTGGTTATGCTGCAGAGTAACAAATGCCCCTCCTAAATCAGGCACAGCAGGGCCGCCTGCGGGTGTGAGCGCAGGCCAGAGACACCCCCTGCTGGTCAGTGGCAGGCAAAACAGGAGGCCCGAGCTTCCACTCAGCCTGTGTTCTCTGTTTGCCCCTCTGAGGCCGGCATCTTCCTCTCCTGCCCAGCCCTCCCTCCGACTCCCTGTCACCCTCAATTTATTCTTATTTCCTCTCTTATCAACGCAGAACATGTTTAAACGTCTACCTGCCTTTAGTAATTCAATCACTAGGTGTTTCGTAGCCTTCTTTTCACTAATTGTGGAATGACTAAGGTCTTCAGCAAGGTGTAGAGGTGTGAGATGGTACAGAGTGGGGTGCCGCATGGAGTGATATTCCAGAATTTTGCCAGTTTGCCTTTGGGGAGGTGGCAGAGGAGAGGAGGAGAAGGGACAAGTTCAGATAGAACCACCTGAAGTTTCTTTCCCACCAGTCCACACCAGCTATTTCTCTTGATGAGAGCACTTGCCTACTGTAAATAGTACACTCTCAAAAAGTCTGTGTTAATTACTTGCTGGTGTAGCTGAAAATGGACTTGCAATGTGGTCTCCAACAGCTGCTCCATAGATCTGAGCTTTTAATCCTTTCATTCTTAAGCGTGTCATGCGTTGCAGAGATGGGGCACCGTCGGCTAGGGAGTGGAACCCTACCAGGGAGAGAGCGGTGGTGTGGCAAAGTCGGCCGCTTCTCCATTTGGAAAGGCCCATTTATGTCCTTCACCTCTTGGGGATTCTTAGGACTACTGTGAACATGCTCCCCAGCTTGTGCAGTTTCCATCATCTTCCTCTCTCCCCACCCCACCCCAGCGCGATTACAGCTGAACTTCTGTGCCTCACAAGGCAAGTGTCAGCCTGGTTCATAATGAAAAGATTGTTCTGTCACTTGGTCCCGAGAGGGAGGAGGCCACGCTCTGGCTGGAGTAGGACTGGCAGTCCCCTTTCCTCTGCCTGTGAATTCTTGGGCTGAGCTTGACGGGAAGGCAGGCGTCTCCTTGGCCTGAGTGCTCTGAGAGAGCCGCGCGGTGCCGTGCCATCTCCTTGCTGTGTGTGCCCTCAGTCCTGCCGGCATGCCCTTTACAGCCCACTCCCGCCATCCAGCTCTGCCTCTGCTGCTCTGCTAAGTAATTCTCTCCAAGGTCACTTCCAGCCTCATCTTCAGCCTCCCCTCACGTATCTTCTCCACAGTGTCTGCCATCTTGGAGCTCTCCTCTATCTCCTGCAACTTCTCTCCTGCTTTTCCACAGACTTTTCTGTTTCTTCTCAATATCCTTTGCCAGCTTCCCATGCCACCCCTTGCTGCCCTCACAGTTAGATAATGTGCTGTTACTCTCCCAGGTGCAGAGCCTCAGAATCTTTTTTTATTTGAAGGATCAGTACAGCCATGAAACACAGGGTCCTTTCCAGAAGGAGTGTACTGAGGGCCGATGGCTGTAGGAGCCTCATCCTTGCCCCTGCCCAGCACTGGTGAACTGAGGCCTCTTCCTGTGTTTCATAGTCTGCCCCCCGCCCACCTTCCCCGTCCACGCCTGTGCTTCAGGCCTGTGGGCATGTGCTGCTGGGGTAGCTTTGTAGTCCGTATCCCTGCCCCAGTTCTCCCGCTTCACGCATCCTGTCCGTGATTGTCTTGTCATCCTCTCTAGCCGCAAGTGTCATCCGGCCACTCCCTGCTCCCTCACTCAAAAGTGCCTCCACCACCATCTCAAGACCACCGGTGATAGTTAGAAAAAAAGTTTTTATAGCAACTCAGTCCCTTTCCTCAAATGAAATCTTGCCATAAACCCTAATGTATTTAAAAACAGTAGAGCCGAACTGCCCTCCACGTGCCAGCCAGGGCCCTTTCGCCCCTCTACTCACTCACCCCACCCTTGTGGTTCTTTGGAAACCAAAAAAGGGCCAAGGAACACAACTGAAATTTTATCTGTCTGTTAAGGCCCAGCTTGGCCATGACTTTCTTCAAAAAGGGGGTTGGTCACTCTAATCAGAACTGGAACCTCGCTCCTCTGAACTTCAGAAACACCTCCTGCTACCTGCGTGTTTGCATAGCAGTGTTGTTATGGGCGTGCATGTCTCAAGTCTGCTATTAGGAGGGCTGGCTACTGCTGGTGAAGGGACTCGCCCACCTCCTGAGCATCCCAGCCGTGTATCAGCTCTGAAGCAGTGCGTGTGGAAGGCATGGCCTTGCTGTGGACATCCTCAGAATCCAGGCCAAGTCTTGTTGGCAAACCAGAAACCTGCCCTTTGCTTCTCAGCCTAGAGCATTTGTGCCCTGATTTCTCTGTCACCCTGCTTACATTTTGTTCATTCCTTGAGGAGAATGAATGCCTTGTCCTTGGCTGTGCACTGTCCTCGTTTTTCACCTTGTGGAGTCGGCTCCAAAGAGAATGGCAGTGGAGAGTGTGTGAGTCAGCAGACTGAGGCTAATAGGGGTTTCTAGTGATTTTCCGTACTGCCTAAGGCACTTGACTCCTAACCAGATGGCTGGCGATTCAAACCTACCAGCCACTCCTTGGAAGGAAGATGGGACATTCTACTTCCCTAGTAATACTGCCTCAGAAACCCAAGGAGGGGTCACTATGAGAGTTTTTTGAGTGTTTTCCCCCAGGCAGAAGCACCTCCAGCAATGCAAAGGTTTGTTTGCCTTTGAACCTTGCTGATTCAAGGTAAGGATGGGGATCAAAGTAGAAGAGGCCCCAGTGAATTCCATCAGTCCACCACTTTCTGAGTCTGGTTAGGATCAGAGAGATTTAAGTGTGAATTGAGTAGAGGGAGCCCCTAGTGGTGAGGAGGTTGGTGCTGAAACAGGTTGTTGTTGTTGTTGTTGTTATGTGCCGTCGAGTCGGACCTGTCATAGTGACCCCTCCTTGGGTTTCCGAGGCAGTGTCACTGCGGAAGTAGATTGCCCCATCTTCCTTCCGAGGAGTGGCTGGTGGGTTTGAACCGCCAGCCTTCTGGTTAGCAGTCAAGTGCCTTAGGCACTATGCTACCAGAGCTCCAGGTAGCAGGCTTAATATTGGCTCCCACTGGGCCCAAGTGCTTGCCCTCAACCTTAAACTAGCAGCCATTTGAGTCTTCTACAAAAATAGCAATCTTGTAGAAGGATGTTAGGAGCCCTGGTGGCACAATGGTTGGCAATTTGAACCTACCCATTGGCTCATAGGAGAAAGACCTAGTGATCTGCTCCTGTAAAGATGAAATCAAACCTAAACCCACTGGCATCAAGTTGATTCTCACTCATAGTGATCCTTTGGAACAGGTAGTACTGCCCCATGAGGTTTCCAAAGCTGTACATTTTTACAGAAGCAGACTGTCACATCTTTTTCCCATGGAACAGCTGGTGACTTAGAACCACCAGCCTTCTGGTTGGCGGCCACGCACTTAACCACTGTGCCACCAGGGCTCTGTCATAAAGATTGTGGCCTACAAACCCTATGGAGCAGTTCTACTCTGTCCTACAGGGTCTCTGTGGGTCGGAACTGAGTCGACGGCAGTGAGTTTGGTTTGGTTTTGGAGTGCTGGACTATGGTCTAGACTTAACATCATAGTAAAGCTCAGCCCTGCACCAAGAAGCCTTCATGGGTCTCTCTGCTCAAATGATGCTTTCTCACACATAATGCAGTGTGTTTGAGGGGAAGGATCATGGCTTTAAAGATTCAAGTCAACCACTCATTTTTTTTTTTTTTTTTTAACTTTTATTGTGGTGAAAGCATACCCACCAAAACATTCACCAACATATAACAACTTCCACATTTACGGCTCAGGGACATTGATGACATTTTTTATGTTGTGCCACCATTTTTACTATCCTTTTCTAAACTATTCCACCACCATTAGCATAGACTCAGTGGCTCGCAAACACAAGCCAATCCAACCACTTTAAACCTTATTTAGTTGGGATTAGGGAATGAGGAGTCCCAAACTCTCTCAAGGTGCCTTTATATTCCATCCTTTATCTTCTGCCTTGCTGGAACGGCCCTAGGTCCTAGTTCCGTCGCTTAGAGCCGTCCATGCATTTGGTGACGGCAGTGACCTTTGGATCTGCCACAGGAGAGAGGGACTGAGCCTTCTCTCCTTTCCAGGGAATGTCTGTCTGCGTAAGTATGCCAGTCTTCACTGTCCAGGTTCTATCTTGAGCAAGGAGCACCTGGAGTTGAGTCGTGTGGGATCAGTATTCTCATGCAGTTTTTGGGATCACCCGAGCAGCTGTAGAACCCGCAGTTCATCCGTTCTCACCTTCGAGCTCTGAACATGAATAAAGGCCTTATCTTTATATTCCTAAATGAGAATATGGAACACAAGAATGGCTTCTTTCTTTAATGTTTAATTAAAGGGTGAAAGCACAAAGTTAGCGTTTTTTAGTTTGGTTTGGTTTTCTAACATTTTTGAATTTAGCAAAATTGTCCGCTTACAGACCAAGTGAGGAGAAAGGATTTTTATTGCCGAAATATAAAGGGATGTTTAATGTGGAAATACACTAGAAGGCTGGGAGAGGATGTGGTTGCTGCTTTAAGTTACTGAAAACCTGTCATTTGGGAGGATCAGACTCACCCTCTGTGGCTGAGGGCAGAGCTCAGACCCATGGGAAGAAAGGATAGGAGGTAGGTCCCAGCCCAGAGTAAGGGCAGACTTTCCAGCAGGAGAAGAGGTTTACTGATGGAGCAAGCCGCCCTGCACGGGTTGAGGTTCCCTGTGCTTGGGAGGGTTCGGGGTGGGACAGCCCACCCCACACGGACATCAACACTCTGAGGTAGATGATAACAGTGCTGATTCAACACTGTTTTATGCTTTTGTAAAATGGATTTTTAATTATGCAAATAATGTTTGATTATATTCTTGTTATGAAAAATTCAAATGATACCAATAAGGTAAACGTGTCCTTGATAGAGCTCACTCTGTCCCACGCCCTCCCCATGGGTCTCTGTTGCTCTCAGTTGTGGAATACCCTTCCTCCATAAACATATCCCTTAGGAAAACATCAGCAATGCCAGAAACCCCAAGTAGCGACAGACTGTCCCGCCCATGGGGCCCATCGTTCTAGTCCACACCTGGTCATCTGACTGCTAAAATGTATGAGTTGAAATTTTGGTCTAGGAGGAAGGAAGAGGTTAAATAAAACTATGTCTAAAAGTATAGTGGGCTAGAGCAATGTCATTCTGTGGGTACCTGCTACCAGTGGTTGGTGCGGAAATTTTGTGACCAGTGAACTTTTTGATTAAATAGTGCATATTTCTGGTAATTTATACTTTGGTGAGATGAGTTAATATTTAACCTCTTGTTCTTTGTTTAACTAGGGTCATTGGTTTCCTGGAAGCTATTGTTTGCATAAAATTTGGGCAAGATCTCTTCTCCAAGACCCAAATACTTTATGTTGTACTTTGGCTTCTTTGTGTGGTAAGTCATTATTCTTTTTGCCTAACAGTGTTAGCTAAACTGCCATGGTATCTCTTAAAAAATAAAATACAAACAGTAACAACAAAAAAATCAATACTCTTGTGTGCCAAGATTCCCTAGAAATTTATAGAGAAGTCACTCGGCTTGTAATACCCCAAGATTGTTCACAGGTTGTTGCAGTCTGAAGTTCAAGAGTAAAACACATAGGACCACACAGTTCCTGAAATGGGTCACCTCGGCAGGTTCCAGTCACATGCCCTCAGTACGTGTACCATACGTACATTTATTTAATGTACAGGAATTCACCTACACATGCTAAGAATTTAAGGACTGCCATGAGGGAAGAGGGACAGTTACAGGGACCACTCCTTCATCACTTCATCAGTAGGAGCTCTGGTGGTGTAGTGCCTAAGGCATTTGACTGCTAACCAGAAGGCTGGTGGTTCAAACCTTCCTGGGAAGGAAGACTGGGCAATCTACTTCTGTAGAGATACCACTTCAGAAGCCCAAGGAGGGTTGCTATAAGTTGGATCCGGCTCGACAGCAGTGAGTTTTTTATTTTTTGGTTATCCCTATATGGGAGTTTATGTCCAAAATAACATAATTTATAGGCAGTGGAAGACATTTTCAAAGGTCATCAGACTAAGCAATTTCTGCCCTATGGCAGGCTTTATAAGCCCAGCCCCATGGAAGGTGGTTTCTACTTTGACGGGAAGAGCTTTGAGGGGAAGTCAACCCCAATCCTCAAGCGCTCTCAAAGTTTTAGAGACTTTGTGTATTACTTATTTTACAATTTTACACACAGTTTATGCCACCTTATGCTGATGATTTATTTGCCTTTATGTCTGTGATTGTAACTTTGTTCTGGACATAGACTGTTTCATAAACTCCCATAGTCTTCTGTTTGGCATGGTTCCTTGGAAGTCCAGCTTTCATTCACAAATCTTGTAGAGTAGTAGATAGAGGGGCTCAGTCCCTTCTGGAACTTTTTCCTCACCTTTAAAGTGAAGAAAGATACTCCCCAACATTATACTAGCCTTCTTAATTGAATTTTTTAAGAATTGCTGTTTTGGAGAAAAGTTCTTAATTTACATGTAAGCTTAAAATTCTTCACTTTAACTTTACTTGGTTGATAAAATTAGCTTGAGGCTTTTATTTCAATCATGGAAAATTTCAAACATAATTAAAAGTAGAGACTTGATCAACCTATCATCCAGTTTGAACTTGATTAACTCATGGCTAATCCTGTGTGTCCTTCATATACCTATCTCCTCTTCCCACCCCAAATTATTATGAAGCACAGTCACCGTTAAGGAGCCTGGTGGCACAGCAGGTAAGTGCTTAGCTGCTATCCAAAATGTTGGGGGTTCCAACCCACCAGCCGCTCTGTGGGAGAAAAGACCTGGCAGTCTGCTCCTGCAAAGAGTAAACCATAAAACCAAACCCATCGAGTGATTCCAGCTCATAGCAACCCTGTAGAACAGAGTAGAACTGCCCCATAGAGTTCCCAAGGCTGTAAATCTTTGTGGAAGCAGTCTGCCATATCTTTTTCCTGTGGAGCAGGAGATTTGAACCACAGATCTTTCGGTTAGCAACCAAGTACTTAACCACTGCACCACCAGGGCTCCTTCCCATACAGATTACAGCCTAGGAATCCATGTGGGGCAGTTCTCTGTTACAAAGAGTCTCTTACGAGTTGGCATCAACCTGATGGCACACAACAATAAACAACAGGTCCACCTCTAGTAGTTTAGGATGTAGCTCGAAAAGGTTAAGAATGCCTTTCTTGCTTCACAGCCACCATACCGTTATCACATGGAAAAAGAATGAACATTAATGCCTTAATGACATCAACGGTCTAATCAGTGTTACAGGTAGAATTTTTCATGGTGTGTTGGAGTCAGTATTCATGGGTTCTGATTGGTTGGCGTGTCTTTTAGGTCTTATAATCTATAGGTTTGCCCTCTATCTCTGTATGTCTCTTTCCTTTGCATTTTATTTGTTGAAGAAGCCAGTTCTTTTTTCTATAGATTTTCCTGTGGTCTGGATTTTACTGACAGTATCCTGTACTATAATGTAATGTATTTCTTTGTCCTTTGTATTTCCTATAAATTGGTCGTTGGATCTGTAGCTAAGTCAGATTAATCAGTCTCCAGTCTTTTTTTTTCTTCTTCAATTGCAAAGTTAAACTTTGTATTTTCAAAGTGTCTTTAATGCCTTTTGCAGTGTGTATTCTTAGAGTTACTTGTTAGAAATCCTGTGCCCACGTACCTGAGCCAGTTCTATCCTGTTTCATCTTGAACGATGAAAGGAAATAATGATCCCTTTGTATTTAAACTCCAGAATCAATGCTCAGATAAAAATTTTCAGTCCTAGTGAGACAAGATGAAGAAATAGGCCGGGCAAGGCTGTCAGCTGTGCCCAGAGCTTTCCTTTTAAATGGGTCTTCTCTGCTTTCTCTCCGTCAGGTGCACTTCAAGGCTGCAAATTGTAGCACGTGACCTGACTCCAGCATGGCAGACTGGGGTACCCCTATTTTCTCACCCTCCTGCCCCTTGAATTCGTTCTCCATGCTGCTGCCAAGTTGCTCTTCCAAAATTCAGAGCTGACTCTGTTGTGCCATCATTTCCTATTGTTGGGGACTCAAGGGACTAAAGAAATACAGGCAAACCCCAGAGATACTGCGGGTTTGTTTCTAGATCACAGCAATAAAGCCTGTATTGCAATAAAGCGAGTCACACAAATTTTTCGATTTCCCAGTGCATATGAAAGTTATGTTTACATTATACTGTAGTCTTTTAAGTGTTCAATAACATTATGAAAGTTTGAAATAATTGTGAGAATTACCGAAATGTGACATCGAGATACAATATGAGTACATGTTGTTGGGAAAATGATGCTGATAGGCTTGCTCAGCACGGGCTGGCCACAGACCTTTAATGTGTAGAAAATGCAGTATCTGTGAAACACATTAAAGCAAAGTACAATAAAACAAGATATACCTGTAACATTATTTTTACCCATTCAAGTTCAAAAGTAATTAAGAGAGTGGGAGAAGAATCTAGAGATCAGAATATCATGTTTTTTTACTGAGAATCCTACTATTTTCAATGTCAGCTATAGGTGCACAGCAACAGGAAGCTTCCTAAATTGAACCCCAGAATTGGAGACACTAATCCTTTAGCCCCTCGCTATCCATCTTTCAGTCTGTCATCATTTGGTGGCTTGTGTTTTGCTATGATACTGGAAGCTATGCCTCTGGTATTTCAAATACTAGCAGGGCCACCAATAGTGAACAAGTTTCAGCAGAGCTTCCAGACTAAGACAGAGTAGGAAGAAAAACCTGGTAATTTATTTCAGAAAATCAGCCAATGAAAACATTAGAGATCACAACAGAAAGTTATCTGATACGGTAGTGGAAGATGAGCACCCTAGATTGGAAAGCACTGCCCATTGGGATGGACATGAGAGTAACTCCAAGTTGTGTGCTGCTGGGTGGCTGTCATGGCTGTAATTGATGGAGGAAATGTATCTGGTTCAGGAGAGTTGAGGTTTGAGGGAGCCCTGGTGGCACAGTGGTTAAGCGTTTGGCCACTAACTGAAAGGTTGGCCATTTGAACCCAGCAGCCACTGCGTGGGAGAAGGATGTGGCAGTCTGCTTCCATAAAAGATTTACAGCCTTGGGAACCCCATAGGGCAGTTCTACTCTGTCTTGTGTGGTCTATATGCGTTGGCAGTGGGTTTGGTTTGTTTTGGTTTTAGAGCTTGGGGATAAAGGTGTCGTGTGTCATTGAAACGCTAGTCAGTCCGGTACTATTGGAAAGACTCAGTCAGCCTTGGGGATAAAGACGTGGGAGCCATTGGTATGTAGGGTATGGTGGAAGCTATGGAATTAGTTAAGAGTCAAAGAAAGCGTACTGTGGGAAGAGAAGCAGGCTGAGGTTGGAATTTTGTGGGGAGGCCAAGGAAGAGGAGCAGTAACCCCAGAACTTTGAAGAGGTAGAATGCGGCCCCCGACTGGATGAAGACTTTGGATGAGATGGTCTGGGGTTCCCACAACTTTGCACATGTACCAGTTAAAGAAAAATGGGAACAAGGTCTCAGGGCAGATCCATGAAGACGGATTGCAGACTTAGGTGAGAACGGATGCAGTAGGAGCTCATTAACCTCCCCAGCGCCTCCCACCTTGCTCGGAGAAACAAAGCCCCAAGTGTTCCTCTGGTGGTGAGAGAACATGCACGTAATTTACGATTAATGTGGCAGCAGAGATCCCTCATGGTAGTAAAAAGCGTCTGGAAGCAATTGTCTGATGGATCACGATGTATTCGAATGTTTATTACCGTTCTTGGGAGCCATGGGTTTGTGCTGTCGTCGCCGTCACCACCTGTCACTGCCGCCGAGGCTAGTGGACTCCGGCCTGGCTCTCGTCCCACACATCCCCCTACTCCCTTCTTCAAACAAAATCTGTACAATTGTTATTTTAAACCTGGGCCTCGACATTTTAAGTGGGTACTTGCCTAGATTTCCGCAGGTGTGAGTGCAAACCCATAAATTACAAGCTTTTGTTTCCCAGGACGAGTGTAAAATGGGCACCTTTTTAAAATCTCAGGTGAAGTGGTAAATTTGGCAGCCACAGCAGGTCCTTTGGTGATTGTGATAATCACCCGTTGTTGCTGCCCACCTGCCAGTGTTTGCCTAGCACTCTGCAAAGCCAGGACTCCCCTCAGTCTGCTATTGGGAGAGGGCCCCAGCCGCCCCTGCCCACCCTCCCAGGTATGGGGGCCCTGGCAGGTTCGAGGGCCAGGAAGGGCCCGGAGGAGCCACATGGGCCTGCCCTCTGGTGGGCAGAATTCGTAATGACAGTCTAGCCAGCCATCACTGCTCTCTGTCGGTCTAGTTGGACCTTTCTCTGGCCAAACTCGCCACCTCCACCCCACAGCCACTGGCTGGTGTGAGGGTGGCAAAACCTGCCCTCCGCCTCTCCCCAGAGTAACACTGAAAATCTTCTGTAATCTCTTCTGGTTCCATTATTGTAAAAATGGTCCATTTAATGTTGGCGTATGTTAGCATTCTGAGCAAGTACTAGAACATTTTAAAGGTTGGTTCCTTCTTATTTTATAATTGTAACATATTCTTTCACTGCTTTATTTTTAAATGGGAATATGGGAGCTTTTCTTTAAATCTCTAAGATCCCAGTCTGCATATGGATCTAGTAGAACATGAACTAGTAGCTCTTAGGCAGTCTTTCGACCGTGCCACTGTTCCCGCTTCTTTGGCGTGGAAGGCGAAGGCCAGCCAGAGCACTCTGAGCCCTTTCTTTTCTGGAGCTTACGATGAAGTGCACCCAGGAGACAGTAAATGTTGTGGACCTACAGGAAACTGGGCCAAAGCTAGACTATACGCTACAGTGATGAGAAGTCACAGCCCCTAAGTAGCTTTCCCTGTTTGTCTTTGCTCCACCCCCTAGACTGGGCTGCAGACTGAGGTGCAGGGTAGCTTGCTGGCACCAGCTGTTCCCATGATGCTTTTCTTTCTCTGGGAATGGATTGGTAGATGGAAGGAGATAGAAAGATGTATGGACATACAATCTGTCTTTGTTTATACCTGTGTTGCTATTGTTAGGTGCTGTTAAGTCGGTTTTGACTCATAGCGATCCCACATGACAGCATAAAACTGCCCCGTTGGGTTTTCTAGGTTATAATCTTTACAGGAGGAGCCCTGGTGGCACAGTAGTATAAGTGCTCGGCTGCTAACCTGAAGGTCAGAAATTCAAACCCTCCAGCTGTGCTCTGCAGGAGAGAGCTGTAACAGTCTTCTTCCATAAAGATGTTTCAGCCTTGGAAACTATGGGGCATTTCTGCTCAGTCCTGTAGTGTTGCTGTGAGACAGAATTGACTTACACAGTGGGTTTGGTTTGATCTGGGGGAATCTTCATGAGAACAGATTGCCAGGTCTTTTTCCCAGGGAGCCACTAGCTTTGCAGCTGAGCGCTTAACTGTTGCACTACCAAGACTCATTTCTACAGCCCCCCCGAAAGCTGAATCTAGGAATATTGAGAGCCCTGTGTTTCTCGGGGGAGGGAGGGAGGGATTGTCTGTAAAAAGGAAGAACTTGCAAAGCTGTTAAGAAAACGCAGCCCACCTTACCACCCTTGTAAAACGTGCAGCTGGACGTTGTGGCACACGCAGTACCTGTGGCCTCGTCAGAGCTCTTGCCGAAACTTGGGGGATGCTCCCGCACTCATTTCCTGGGGTGCAGTCTCTGCCTTATCTGGCCATTTTGTTGTCCTCGAGGGATGGCAACATGCACCAAGCCGTCTTCAGTGAATCCCCGTCGAAACTCCAAGGTTCTGGGACAGCGATTTGTTTATTCATTTAGGCAGTGACATCTGTAACATGGTTTTGTGCTTGTTTTTCTCTTCCAGGCTTTTACGACTTTCCTGTGTTTGTACGGCATGGTGTGGTACGCAGAACACTATGGTCATCGAGAGAAGGTACAGAAGGAAGGACAGAAACAAGTCTTGAGAACAGTCCCCTCCTGCTTTGCACTTTAGCCTGGAGCATCCTCACGTTCCGTGGCCTCAGACGGTGCTCACAGAGACTCCTCACTTCATAATCCGTTCCCTGTCTGTTGCCGTTCTTGTTTGTACTTGCCCTGTTCAGTAGGTCAGCATTTTGAATCCTCCTTTTGTACAGGGTTTTATATTTATTTTAAAACACTGGGGAAAGCACCATTTTTGGAAGGCCTGGGTTTTATTCCCAGCGCTTCTACTTGGTGCGAGCCTCTTCAACTATGGCTGTCTGGGCCTCCCCAACTGTAAAACACAGGTAACACCTGCCCTGCCCTCCTCAGACTAGTGACGAGGGTTAGAGAAGAGATGTGAACGGGCTTAAAGCACTATAAAAATCTCATTGACTGTGATTTTTTTTTTCAAGTAAACAAAACACCTTTATTACATTACACCTTTATTCATACTTTTAGTCTGAGAAACTAAAGGCACTTTCTAGAAGATTAATTCTGCATTCTCTGACTTACCCTGGGAGACAAAACCCAAAAAAACCAAACCCATTGCCATCAAGTTGATTCCAACTCATGGCGACCCTTTGGGACAGAGTAGAACTGCCCCATTGGTTTCCAGAAGACAGAAGAGCCTTGGTTTTGTAGTGAGGAAATGTAAGCACTAGGAGGTTTTGTCACTTACTAGTGCCGTCCTCAGCCTGGGCAAAGCAGGGACAGAGCCTCAAACCCAGGCATCCTCAGGGCCCTGTCCTGCCCCACCTGCCAGGGAGGACTGGACATTCTGACCCTCAGTCTCTCTCTTTCCCTCTAGACCTATTCAGAGTGTGAAGACGGTACCTACAGCCCAGATATCTCCTGGCCGCATGGCAAGGCCTCAAAAGGTATCTTTCTTGTTCATGATTTGAAACTTCGCTGGGTCCTCTGCCTCCTTAGGCCCAATAAGAAGGTTTGCACTCAGCATTTATGTTCTGAGTGTTGGCTGAGTGGGCTCAGACCTACTCATCCGTGTCTCCTGTTACTTAAGAAACAAGCAAAGTGCTCACAAGATCTGCTCAGAGTTTTGCTGTAAGAAGAGGCACACTGTTGCTCTGCCTTTCCTGAGGCAGGAAAATGGAATGAGACCAGCACCGTCTCCAGTTCGGTGCATGAGCATGCCCTTCTTCTTGGCTGTTGTCATGAGAAAAGGGGTGAGAGAAATCGTGTGCCAGGAAGAGAAGCCTTTCGGAAAAGGTAGAAGGATCTGATTGCATTTATTCAAGAGGCCGACCCATCTTAGAGGGATTTTAATAGTGTACTCAGGGATCCTGGGGATCTCCAAGGAGCCTTTTGCAAAGATTTGGGGCCACCTGGTTATTGTCCAGAATGAGGCTTGTGGAATAATGGCCCTGAGGAGACGCCTTTGGGCAGTGATTCTTTGTCCATTCCTATGAGCTGAATGGGAGGCTAGGCAGAGGAGGAGAGATGAGGAACACTAGCGACTGTGCATTTCAGCTCACAGCATTGGCAGAGAACCTGAGTGGGCCTGGGGCTGGGGAGAAGAAAGCTCTGCTCTTCCTCTTGCTCCCCTGAGTCCTTTCGGGATCAAGTTTATTAGCAATCTCCTGGGAAATGTCAGTGCACCCTGCTAAGTTGCCTGTCACCCCTTTTGAGATGGTTCCTCCAGGTCAGTGTAGGATTAGCGACCTGTCTTGGAATGCTAACAGGAGCCAGAAACCTTCCCAGACTTCCTTTCTTTAGAGCCGCCTCTTACAGATCCAGGCTCTCCACTAAAAAGGACTGAACAGTGGTAGACATATGTTTGAGTCTCTGATTGGTGCCAGCGGTTAACAAGCTTGGCTGCTATCCGAGAGGTGTGGGTCCAGTCCATCCAGAGGCACCTCGGAAGACAGGCCTGCCAACCTGCTTCCGAAAGATCAGCCACTGGAAACCCTGTGGCCCACATGGGGTTAACACGAGTCGGTGGTGACTGGGTGATAACCGGTGGAGAGGTATTTAAACGAAAGGTGGTTGTTGTCTGTTGTTATGTGCCATCGAGTCGGACCTGACTCATAGCGACCCCTCCTTGGGTTTCCGAGGCAGTATCACTGCCGAAGTAGATTGCCCCATCTTCCTTCCGAGGAGTGGCTGGTGGGTTTGAACCGCCAGCCTTCTGGTTAGCAGTCAAGTACCTTAGGCACTATGCTACC